GCCGCCAGCCATCCGTGATGCTCTCGCAAACTCTCAAGACGGATGTGCGCGCGGCGCTACAGGCGAGAGCCGCATTTTGAAGACCACCCGCCCTGCATCCGTGAAATTGCTGCAAACTTCTACGACTTCTGTTAGCGGCGGTACAGGCGAGAGCCGCATTTTGAAAACGAGTGGCACGCGTGCCATGGCTCTTGCGCAAAAAGGACTGGGAGGAGGAGGCGGAGGAGGAGGAAGGGGGGGAAAGTGGGGGCGAGACATCGGAGGAGGAGTGAACACCGAGGGCCGCAATCGGGGCTTCCGAGGCCGAGCTTGCAGAGGCTCTAGGGGCCGCCCCCCAGAAGACGGCCTCAAACACTTTTACAACAACATGTGCCCAGGAGGCCTCCAACAGACACCCAAGAGGTGTTCACCAAGGGGCCCACGCGGTCCCCAGAGGCCCCAAAAGGCACGGAAGAGGCTCCCCAGATGCCTCCAAGGTCCACGGATGGGGGGGCGGGTGCGGCATTCGGTGACTTGCCGAAATGCCATCAGCCCTTTGGGCGAAGGAGGTCTAGTGAATTCCCCTCCCCGTTCCTCGTTGAAGAAATAATTGTCCCTGGTGTTTTTTCGCGATGGGCGGGGCCAGCGGTCAGAGCACCCAGGACGGGCCAAGTTCTTTCTCCTCCGTCTTTCCTCCCCCTTCCTTCTTTCATCCCTCTTCCTCCCTGACAACAACGCGTCGGCGTCGGCGAGGAGCGGGGGAGGGGGGGAGGGCGGGCGCGGCGCCGGCGGTGCCGTGCCGAAATCCCACCCGCCCCCTGGGCGCATGTTGCCTCGCGTAGTCACCCCTCCTCTTCCCAACCCCTTTTCTTCCTTCGGGGAGGGGCTCCCCTCCCGTTAGTTGTTTGGCGGGGGGCGAGCGGTCAGAGCGCCCGAGATGGCCCGAGATTCCTCCAGCAGGGCCTCCGAGGCCTTCAGATGGCCTCCAAGATGGCGTCGCTACGGCACGAAATCAAATGGTCGGGGCGGAGGGGGGGGGGTATCGGGCTGACGGGGGACAATGGGGACAGCGGGCGGGGGCGGGGTCTTGCGGGGGGAATTGGAGAGGGGGGGCTGGGGGGCTGCGAAGCGAAGAATAAAATGGTCGGGGCGGAAGGGGCGCTGTGCTGCTGGAGGGCAGCGGGGACAAGGGGGCGATGGGTTGGGGGGGGGGGGGCGCGACGCGAAAACTAAAATGGTCGAGGTAGAGAGGGAGGGCACTGGGTTGGTGGAGGACAATGGAGACATGGGGGGCGGGAGCCTGGGCGTGGGCCTGGGTCGGGAAGGGGAACGGGGCGGGGGGCTGCGACGAAAAATATACATTGGGGTGGACGGGGGCATTGGGATGCTGGGGGACCATGGGGACAGGGGTCGCGGGCGATGGCCTGTCCGCGGAAGGAGGGCGGCGGGGGGGAGGGGGGGCGCGGGGGCCTGCGACGCGAAACATACCATGATCGGGGCGGGGGGGTTGTGCTGCCTGGAGGACAGTGGGGCGGGGGCGGGGGCCTCAGCGGTGACAGGGCAAAGGGGCGGTGACGTGCCGAGGTGAAGGGGGGGGGGTCGGGGGTGGAGGGAGCTGGGGGGCGGCGTCGGTGTCGGTGGCACGCGGAGGGTGAATGGGGGGGAGTGTGGCTGCGACGTGAACATTACAGTGGGGGACCGCGGGGACAACGGGCGGTTTCGAGGCTCCCGCGGGGGAGGCGGGGCTCTGGGCTGCGGGGTGACAACGTGCGGTGGCGGAGAGGCTTGTGGAGAAGGGGAGGTGAGGTGGAATAGCTGCGACGCGGATGGACCACTGGGCTGCTGGAGGATAGCTGGCGCCGGGGGCGGCGGTGGCCCGCGGGGGTGGGGGGGCTGGCTGCGACGCGACAAATACAGAGGTCGGGGCGGAGGGGGGGCGCTGCTGCCGGGAGGTAGCGGGAATGGGGGTTGCAACGCGACAAAGTATTGTGGTCGGGCGGAGGGGGCTCTGAGCTGCTGGAGGAAAATGAAGACAGGGGGGCGGGGGCGGCGGCCTGCGGGTGGACGAGGGGGGAGGCGGGGAGAGGGGGGCGCGGCGGGGGGCTGCGACGCTGAAGATAGAACTGTCGGGGCCTGCTGGAGGGCAATGGGGACAATGGGGTGCGGGAGCGGGGGGCTTGCGGGGGGAGGGTGTGTGGGGGGATGGAGGTTCGGAGGAGGGGGTTGGCGCGGGGGGCTGCGACGCGAAAACTACAGTCGTCGGAGCGCAGGGGGCACTGCTCTGCTGGAGGACAGTGGGGACAAGGAGGCGCGGGCGAGGTCGTAGTAGCTGGGCGGTGACATGCCGAGAGTGTGGGGCGGGGGGGGGCTGGAGGGCGGTGGCGGCGGCGGTGGTTCGCGGAGGTGGGGGGGAGTGGCTGCGGCGCGAAAACTAAATTCGTTGGGTCCGAGGGGGCACGGGGCTGCTGTAGAACAGCGGGGGCAGCGGGCGGTGGCGGGGGGCCTTCGGAGGAGGTGGGCGGGCTGCAACGCGAAGAATACAATGATCGGGTCGGAGGGGGCACTGGGGTGGGGAGGGGTGCGGGGAGGGGGCTGCGACGCGAATAATAAGATGGTCGGGGCGGAGGGGGCACTGGGACGATAGGGAAAGGGGGGGCGGGGGCGGGGCCTGCCGGGGGGAGGGGGCGGGGGCGGCGGGGAAGGCGGGAAGCTGGGGGGAGGGGGGGGGGGGGGGGCGGGGGGCCGCGACGCGAAAAATAAAGTGGTCAGGCCGAAGGGAGTGGGGACAGGGGGCGGGGGCGAGTGGGGACAGGGGGTAGGGGCGCGGCGGCATGCCGAGGGGAGATGGGGTGGGGAGGAGATGCCGTTTCCACCGGAGGGCTGGAATTTTATGGCGCCTTCGCACGATCTGTGGCGCGAAGGCGAATGACGCCATTTGGGCCCCGCGCCGATTCGCCTGTGGCTGATTCTTCCCTCGGTTCGCTGTTTCTCCTTCCCTCTGCCCCCTTTTCCCCTCCCTTCCCTCTCTCCCCTGCCA